AACCCAAAAACTCAAAAGAAAACAAAAATCCTTAAATCTGGAAGACAAAGCATAGAAGAAAATCAGTAACGTTTTAGAAAAAAGTCAAAGAATTCTATTTCACCAGTTGAGTCTCTAATCTCTTGATGAATTTGCAGTGTTACTGTGGTCTGACCTTTCCATTAACATTCAACATTATTGTTGATTATTTCATTACTTGTCCCTACCATTAAGTTGGCCTTTCTCTTGGTCATTTTTTGTTCTCTTATTTGTCTGTCTTTAGTCTTACTGGTATAGTACTCCCTTCAGAACTTCTTGAAGAGCTGGTCTGGTGTACATCAATTCTTTCAGGTTTTGTTTATCTGAGAATTTTTGGTTGAAATAGTTTTTCCCTTAACACTTTGAATATATTTTCCAATTCATTCCTTGCTTGCATTTTTTCCAACAAGAGGTCCACTGTTAGCCTGATGGGATATCCTTTGAAAGTAACTTGACATTTTTCTCTTGCCAATTTTAGTATATTGTCTCTGTCTGTGGTTTTGGTCAATCTAGCTATGATGTACCTTGGAGAAGATCTTCTTGGGTGGATTCTATGTGGGGTCCTTTGTGTGTCTTGGGTCTGGATATTTGAATACCTCTCTAGGTTTGGAAAATTTTTATCCAGGATTTCATGACATAGATTATCAATGCCCTGATTAGTTTTTTCACCTTCTGGGATAACTGTTATCCAGATGTTTAGGTGTCTAATGGTATCTAGTATTACTTGTATATTATTCTCATTTTTGGGGGGTTATTTTCTCAGTCTTTTTGGTGAATTTTTCTAGGTCAGAGGTTCTATCTTCTACACCTGAAATTCAATCTTCTGCATGATCTAATCTGCTTTTAAAACTTTCAAGGGAGGTTTTGATTTCCTGAATTACAACCTTCATCTCTAACAGTTCTGTTTGATTCTTTTTTATGGTGTGTATTTCCTCTTTTAGATCATGGAAGAACTTCCTCACCTCCTGGGACTCATCGTTTCTTTTCTCCTACATCTTCTGGAGTTCATTGTCTCTCTTCTCTTGCATCTCTGTTAGCTTTGCCACTAAGAATATCCTAAAATCTTTATCTGATACATTTCCAGGAGTTCCATTGTCCTGTTTGTGGGTGATATAGGACTGTTCTTTCTTCTTGGGGGGGGGGGGGATATTTTCTTGATTTCCCATATTTCTCGGGCCTCTGCTGTGGTGGTTTCTGGTCATCTGATAGATTATATGTTACTTCCTTCCTGGCTTTTTGCTGGGTGTTGGGCCGGAAGGAGGGGTTTGGGGCAAAGACTTTTTCTGGTTAAAGGGGCAGTGAAAGCCTACCTCATATGCACGTGGATTCTGGCTTTTTGCTGGTTGTTGGGCTGGAAGGCACTCGTTAATAAATGTTAAGCATATCCCAGTAGTAAGTCAAGATTTTTCAAGCACAGTTTAACATTATGTCTAGCTGCCTAAAATATACACTTGGGTTGGTATTTATTCATTATTCATTTATTTAGTATGTTGAGTACTATTAATTATTACACAGACCTTTTCTATCAGATATTACAGATCATTTCATATCTTATAACAGTTGTATATACTTCAAAATATAGTTTATGACTTCACCACTTTGGAACTACAAGTGATGATTTTTACTAGATCTTAAGGACTCCAATGAAAGTAAAAGAAGACAATGTGCCCATATATTAATATACCAAAATGTAAACAAATTGGATAACTGTATATAATTATTTTAAAAGACTATATACTATTTCTACTATACCTAATCATTTTAAAAGTGTTGGGATACTTTTAGTATAATTGGCTTGTTTTGCAAGTCTATGTATTTTATCTTACTCATTTAAAAATTTTTGTTTTGAGAAGGATCCATAGGATTCTCTTGATTCCTAGAAGGCTCATTGCACACAAAAATATTCACCAATAGTGTTATAAGTACTGATGACAGAATAGTGAACAACTCAGATAAATTTCTTGCTTTCAGGGAACCTTCATTGAGGGTTAGGGGAAAAGGGAGGTGACAAAAAAAGAAACGAAGAAATAATCAACTGAATTTTAGGTAGTCATAATGTTTGCAATATATATAATATATATGTATGTATTTATATATCTATATATATATATACACATATATATTATATATAATATATATGTGTATATATATATATAGATATATAAATACATACATATATATTATATATAATATATATGTGTATATATATATATAGATATATAAATACATACATATATATTATATATAATATATATGTGTATATATATATATAGATATATAAATACATACATATATATTATATATAATATATATGTGTATATATATATATAGATATATAAATACATACATATATATTATATATAATATATATGTGTATATATATATATAGATATATAAATACATACATATATATTATATATAATATATATGTGTATATATATATATAGATATATAAATACATACATATATATTATATATAATATATATGTGTATATATATATATAGATATATAAATACATACATATATATTATATATAATATATATGTATGTATTTATATATCTATATATATATATACACACACATACATATATAAAATGTGACAAATAAATGACAGATGGACTGGCCCTGCAGCCTAGTGCTTAAGCACGCTTGGGGGAGTGCTTTCTCTCTCTCTCTCTCTTTCTCTGTCTCTTTCTGATGTGTGCATGTGCCTTTGGCAATTAACAAGAAATGACAAATTGGGAGAAGTAGATGACAACAAAGAGCCAGACATGGAACAGGTATGATAGAGAGCCCTCACAAAAGGAACAGACAGTGGAAGACTCCAAGGCAGGGCAAGCTTGACACGATCATGAAATAACTAGAAGGCTGGTATGGCGAGCATTAAGTGGGGTGGGGGTGAGGTCATGAGAGTAGGAGGAATATGAGAAACCACATCATGTAGAGCATGTAGGCTAGGGCAACACGTTTCTATTTCATTCCAATTACATCGTGCATGCATTGGAGATGTTTTTAAAAATCACAATTAAAAAAAAAAACACACACACACAAGTTAAAATTTACCACCTTAGTCATTTTTTATGTGGATAGTTCGATGACATTAAGTCCATTCATGGTGCTGTGAACCAGCTAGGAAGTATTGCCGACGAGAGATGGCAGTGGTGTTAGCAGAGGATGATTTGAAATGGCTTTAGACAGTATAACAGACTGGATTGGATGACAGATTGAAACCCACATGGAGGAGGACATGGGTATTCTCTCAGATATGTTAAATCTGAGTTGTCTCTGACATCTAAGTGGAGATGTTACGTGGGTGTGTGCTCAAGTACAGAGCTCAGGAAAAAGGCCAGGATAAACCTGGTAGTCATAGATAAACAGGTGGAATTTAATACAATGGGACTGGGTGAGATAACCCAGGGAGATACTATAGATAAAGAAAAGGCCCAAGAATAATGCCTGGGGCACTCTCTCTTTCAGAGGTCTAGTTGAAAAGGACTCTTGTCTTGGTCTAGCCAGTCTTGCATAGAGTAAGTACTGTGGGAACTTAGCACTGAGCTCAAAGAGGCAAAATTACCATTTAAAATTCTTTCATAACTGGTTGTAGCCAGGTCTTACTGGGTTTGTCTCTGAGAGAAGGGCAATCCACCTGTGCGTACAACATCTAAGATGGGGCTATGATAGGAGAGGCATGACAAGACCAAGGAGAAATTGTTACTAATTTGAAAGTGGTAAATCCTTCTTATATTGAGAAACACGTTATTAAATAAATGTTACTAATGTAACATATATTAACTAAGAAAAAAAGATAGTTTGTTATAGAAAACCTTTCAGTGGGACCAGCAGTTAGCGTAATGACTATGTCACTGGATTCCCATGTAGTCGACCGCGGTTCACGTCCCGGACCTGGTGGCTTAAAAAAAAAAAATTCACGCCAGGTGTGTGTGCATGCGTGCCCAAGATCTCAAGAGGAGAATGAAGGAGAAGGAATTGCGGCGTGGCCATCTTGCCTGGGGGGTGATTTCTCGCTTTCTGTCTCTCTGTCTCTCTCTGGCTGGTGAGCATACACACCTGAAAGCATAAAAACTTCTCCAAAAAAAAAAAAAAGAAAACCTTTCAGTATTTTTGTCTTCCCATAAGTTAATGATGCTAAAATATATTTTAATATTTCCTGTCATAAGATACAGTACTATATTGATGTGCTTGATTGAGCCAATATACAGTGTATTTTGGATGGAAAATTCATTTGTATGCTGTAATGATTTATAGTGAATTAATGTAAAAAATAAATTAAAAGAAAAAAGATACAGTACTATATACATATTTCAATAACTATTTGATTGATCATGTAAGGTTTAAGAAGTAGTACAAAAACAAGTTTGAGACATTGTCATTTTAGTGCATGTATGATTTCGGTTTTGGTTTGAGTGAAAAATATCCAAATGTCTTTATTTCGTGATCTTTAAGTAGCTAATAGTTTATCATCTCTAAATGTATCAGGTCATTGGAAAAGACATGACATATTTTTCTGTTTTTCTATGTAAAAATGTGTCATGACTTTTCTGATGACCCAATATTTTTTGAAAAATCCATTTTCTAACGCAGGGTGTATACCACTTGAGAAAGTCATGCTGTTCTTTTTTTTTCCAATTAGTCACCAAAGCCTGCCTGCTTGGGCAGGATTCTAGTTAATGAGTTATGCAAATGTTGAGCATCATTTGACCTAGACTTTGATGCTTCTAGTAGGCTGTGATTTGCTAATTCTTTGAAAATCTTACACCCCTTTGTTTGAGTAAAGCATTCTGGTTTTTTGTGCGTGTTCCTCTTTGCCATACTCAAACATTTGGGAAATGGAAATAGGGAAGCAGTTGCTTCTTAGAAAAACTATAGATGAATGGAACAGGAACTGCAAAATTAGCAAAATGGAACAGGAACTGTTGATCTTGTTATTATTGCTTTTGCTTATTTTTTCTCCTTTGCTAGGAGACCTGTTATGATGATGTGTGTAATACTCACCACACTCCCCAGCTTCAGCTTTTCTATAGCAGTGACTGAGGTATGGCATTTTATTTCTTCTGTTATAAGGCTTTGAGATGTCAAGATTACCTGTTAATGGGATTTGATAGAATGGTGTGCTCAGCAAATCTGTAATACATTTATTCTTCTTCCAAATTGTAATATATTTATTTAATGTACCAAGATCATTACCTCTGTGATTGTGGAAGAAAGTCTTGCAGATAGTTTTTTAAAGATTACCTTTGCGCTTATATGGGTGAGGCACAATATTATTTTGAAATAGTAAACAAGAAATTTGAAAGTTAATCTACATGTGTTTTTTCTACTAGAAGTTTTTCATGGTTTTCCTCAGGTTTTAAATAAAATATGATAAGATCTAAGGGAACAATCACTTATACTTTAAGACCTTTCATAATCTGTTGACAAATAATTTTCACATGATAGTTCTTAGAAAATAACTTTTATTTTTTTTTTTACTAAATCTGCTTCAAAAGGATACAATGAGTTATCTACAGAGTAGGATTATTATTGATAGAACTTTGATCTGCGAGAACTTTATTGCCCAAGAAGGTTAGAGAAGACTGTACTAGTAATCTATTTAATTTGCAAGGCAATTTGAAAGATATAATTTTCATTTCCCCAAGTACACAACTAAATTACCTTGTGGTGTTTCTTTCACATGTCGAGGAAATATTTACTAAGTGCGTATTACATGTAGGCATGGTGTTAGGTCCTGGGGACAGAGTCTCTGGCTTTCAGCAATTAATTCTGCTAATTAAGAATAGTTTATTTGGCTTATGATTCCAGTTGTTAAACAGTTCAAAGGTGTGCAGGGGTCCTCAGGCCAAGCTACACCATTGGGTAACAGAGGGAGAGAGGATGAGAGAGAGAGGTGCACTGCTCTCTCTTTCGTCACCACCTGTTCTTACGAGAACTAACCCCTAGAATTCTCACAGTCTCTCACATGAGACTGATGCTTCCATGATCCATTCACTACCCACTAGGTTCAAATTCTCAAACATGAACTTTTTAGGGAACAAATCACTAAACTGTAGCACAGGCTATTAGAGTTCATCATACTTTCTACATTAGGATGATATATGACTGCGTGGTAACCTCCAGAACATCACCCAAATGTATTTTACAGAAAACGAACAGCAATAAATAAATAAATAAATACTTCAGTCGACATTTCTTAGTTTCTCCTTCCTCATCCCTAAAAACTTTGTAAAGTATGTGAGGTATTTTGAAGAGCTTTGAATTTTAGTTAAGAGGCCAGCAGGTGGCATGGTGATTAAGGCATCAAACTCCCATGTATTTAACTATAGTTTGAGTCCTGGATCTGCAGGCTTAAAAATCACACTGGGCCCATATATGTGCATGCCCAAAATCGCGCAAGGAGAATGGAGGAGAAGGGATTGCAGTGTGGCTATCTCCCTTGATTTCTCACTTTCCCTCTTAGTGTCTCTCTCTGACTCTGTGATGGATGCATGTGCCCTGTGACAAAAACCTAAAAAAAAAAATAGTTTATAACTTTTCAAGATATACCTTGATGATAAAATGATTCTATATCTCAAATCTAATAATCCTTTTTAAAAGTTCATGATGTGTCACTCCCTGTTGCATATGTATTTTTCTTTTTTACTTATTTAATTTTTCATTGACATGTACCACACAAGCAGAAAAATGCACAAAATATATAACTGTACAATATCAATGAAATCTTCATAAAGCAAATGCCTCTGTGAGTACTCCTCAGGTCAACTGACAGGTACACCACAAACAGAAAAATGCACAAAATATATAACTGTACAATGAAATCTCATAAAGCAAATGCCTCTGTGAGTACTCCTCAGGTCAACAAAGAAAACTTTGGGTAGCTCTACCTGTGACCCTCCCTCTTCCCCCAAGGTAACTTTTATTTTGACTGTTATTACCACAGGTCAATTTGCCTTTTTTTGAATTTTTATAAGAAGCAGTCAAATTATGGATGACATGCCATATACAGCTTCTATATAGTAGGTATGTCATTTGTGTCATGCTTCATTTATTCAGAAGTATGGTTGTGAGGGTCATAACTGCAGTTCATTCACTTTTATTGCCATAGAGCATTTCTTTTGTGAAGATATACTTGAGCACTTCTGCTCAGAATGACCATTTCAGTTGTTTCCAGTTCGGGCTATGAAAAATAATGCTGCTGCGAGTGTTCTTGGTTTTGTGCGTGGTACATATGTACAAGCATTTCAGTAGATTAAATACATGGGAGAAGAATAAATAGGTCATAAGACTTCAAATGCTCAGTTGTATCGGATAATGCCAAGTAGTGACTGGGAAGATGATACTGATTTCTGAGGTAGAAAATTCATTAGCAGATGGGAACCAACAGTTAGCGTAATGGCTATGTCGCTGGACTCCCACGTAGTCAACCGTGGTTCGCGTACCGGACCCGGTGGCTTAGAACTCACGCCAGGCGCGTGTGTGTGCGTGCCCAAGATCCCGAGAGGAGAATGGGGGAGAAGGGACTGCGGCATGACCATCCCCCCTGGGGGGTGATTTCTCGCTTTCTGTCTCTCTGTCTCTCTCTCTCTGTCTGGCGAGCGCACGCGCCCTGTAGCAAAAAACCTCTCCAAAAAAAAAAAAAAAGAAAAGAAAAGAAAATTCATTAGCAGAGAATGAGCATTTCTGTTGCCCCACATTTTCACGAGCATTTGCGTTGTAAGCCTTTTCATTCTAGCTATACTGGTGTGTATGTCCGTGAGTCTTAGTTGAAAGTTTCATTTCCCCAATAATTAATGAAGTTGAACAACTTTTCATCTTGCCTTTTTTAATTCTCTTTTTGCTATAGGCCATGTGTGCTCGACAGAGAGACAGAGAAAAAAAGTGAGAAATCACCTCCCCCACCCCAAAGGTGGGGGATTGCCCTGCTGTAATCTCTTTTCCATTCTCCTCCTTGGACCTTGGGCATGCATACACATACACCTTGGCATGATTTTCCAATCATTGAGTCCTAGACTCAAACTGTGGTCAGCCAGTGGGAGTCCAGTGATGTAACCACTTTGCCATTTACTGGCCCCACCTTTTTCATTTTAAGGTTTTAGCCATAGCGTGTGCACTTTCCAGAGAGAGACAGAGAGAGGGAAAGTGAGAAATCATCCCTCAAGGGGGCTGGCCATGCTGCAATCCCTTCTCCATTCCTCTCTTGGGATCTTGGGCATGCAGGCACATATGCCTGGCATCATTTTTAAGTTGCTGTGTCCTCCATAGCTTGAACCACAGTCAGTCATATGGGGATCCAGCAACTTAATCACCATGTTACCTGCTTGCCCTGATCTTGCCCATTTTTTATTATGTTGCTTCCCCCCCACACACACAGTGCCAGAGGACATATGGGCTCACCCCAGAGACAGACAGAGAAGGGGAGGAAAAATACACCACTGGGCTAGCCTGCAGGGTGGTGGTCAAGGCAGCTGTATCTCACATGTCTGACCATACGTGCAGGTTCTAGATCCTGAGTCTTGAGAGACACATTGGGCATGTGTCCTCCAAATCTCAAAAGGATAGAATGAGGAAGAAGGGACTGTAGGGTGACCATGCTCTATGGGGGATGCTTTCACGCTTTCTCTCTGTGTCTCTGTCTCTCTCTCTGGTAAGGGCACATGCCCTCTGCCAAAAACTTAAAAAAAAAAAAAAAAAAAAGAAAAGAAAAGAAAAGAAAGAAAATAGAAAGCCCCAAGGGGCACGGTCACGCCACAATCCCTTCTCTATTTCTTCATCCTTTCAGGATTTGAGGTATGCCTGCACATGCTCCTGGCATACTTTTTGAACTGCTATGGCCAGTATTCAAACTATGTGATTGACCATGTGGAATCTGGCTCTCTTAACCACTAGGCAATGGGGCTGAGCCCTGCACACACACACATGGGGGAGAGAAAAAAAGAGAAATATGGGTGTCCCTCACCAGGTCTGGTCATGCTCTGATCCCCTTTCTCCAGTCTTCCAATCCTTGGGATCTGGAGCACTTGCGTGAGTAGAATCCAGTCCCTCTTGAGCAGTGCGTTACAGTGGTGCCATGGAGCCAACTGTATTGCTTAATTGTTTTGTTTTTGTTTTTGTTTTAAGAGAGATTTTTTTGTTGTTGTTATAGGACACGTACACTCACCGGAGAGAGAGAGAGAGAGACAAAAAGCAAGAAATCACTCCCCAGGGGGGATGGCCATACCACAATCCCTTCTCCTCCATTTTCTTCTTAGGATTTTGGGCATGCACACACGCACATGTATGTGCTCAGTGTGAATTTTAAGCCACCAGGTCTGGGACTCAAGCCATAGTCAACTATTTAGGAGTCTAGTAATATAACCATTATGCCATCTATTGGCCCCTCTTGCTTAGTTTTTAAAAATTGATTTGGAATTGATTCATTATCATCATTATAAGCCCATTGATGATTCTGCTTTGCAAATACCTTTATACTGTGTGGACACTTTTACCTTCCTTACTGGTCTCTTTTGATGAGAAGAAGTCTTCATTTAAAATCAGTCCAATTTATCAATGTCTTTCCTTAATGGATACTTGCTTCTGATCACTTGTTTGAGAAGAATTTGTCTTATTGTTAATATGAATCTCAAAGGCCTAAACATAGTCCCCTCTGTGATATTATTTTGGAGACTATATTATTTTCCCCTTCTCTTTTAGATTCACAATTCACCTGGAATGGATTTATCTGTATGTTGTGGGGTAGGGAGTCTTTTTTTTTTTTTTTTTTCCAAATGACATCCAGTGGACTGAGTAGCATTTATTAAAACGTCTGTCCTGCCCACATTTGTCTACAGTGCTGTCTTTGGTATAAGTCAGGGGTGCACATCATGATCTCATCCTGGGCTTTCTGTTCTGCCTCATTGCCCAGATTTCCACCCCTGTACTAATGCCACACTGTTTTGTTTTGTTCTGTTTTGTTTTTGAGAGCTGTTTGCTGTAGGGTACATGTGCTTGCCAGAAAGACAGAGAGAGACAGAGAGACAGAAAGTGAGAAATCACCCCCTGGGGGGATGGCCACACCGCAATCCCTTCTCCTCCATAATCCTATCCGGATCTTGGGCGTGCACACACACACACGCCTGGTGTGAGTTTAAGCCACTGGGTCTGAGACTCAAACCATGGTCAACTACATGGGAGTCCAGTGACATAGCCATTACACCAACTGCTGGTCCCCATGCCACACTGTTTGAATGCTTGGACTTTTATAGTAGTTCTTTATATTCAGAAGAGTAAAATTTTCTATGTCCTTTTTCATCTAGAGCTTCTTGCCCTTTATATTTCTATATATTTCTATAAATTTTAGAATCAATTTGCCATTTTCCATGAAAAGTTGAAATATGATTTGCATGGTATCATTTAAAAAATTCATTACCTTTCTTTCTCTTTCTTTCCTTTCTTTTTTTTTTTCTTTTTTTGTTCTTTATCAGAAGGTATGTGTGCTCACCAGAGAGACAGACACACCAAGAGGGAGAAAGCACTCTGAGATGGGACACCACCACCCCTTCTCCTCCATTTTCACATCCTGTCAGGATTTGGGGCACATGTACATATATGCACATGAGTCTGGCATACTTTTCAAGCCAGACGGAGCCAGAAATTGAACATCAGACATCCATGTGGGATCTAGCTCCTTTAACTGAGCTGGCTCTAATTATTTTCTAACTTTTTCTCTTTAGTATTTAGAAATAACTCACCATTTTGAGGGGACTTTTTTCCATATACAATCATATAGGCTAGGACCAATATTATGATTTATTCGTTCCAATACATGCACTGTTTCTTTCACTTGCCTTAAGACCACTAATACAATGTTGAATAGAAATGTTCACAGCAACACATTGTCTTGTTCCTGAGCTCAGAGGGAAATCTTTCGATATCTCACCATTATATGATGCTTGTCATAGGTTTTTTTTTTTTTGATACCTTAAGCATGAAGGAAATACCCAGGACCTGGCTGGTTTTTTCTGGGCTTTCCCTTCTTGGAAGATCCTAAATGCCGATATGTGTCCCCCTTGCTTTTGAGACTGGATTCTCAGAGGCTGTGTCTGGCACTTCAGGTGGAAGAAATTACCCATTCCGTTTTCATTGTGATCCTACTATTGCATTTTTACATGTATTAAACATGTTCTGTATTTAACTGAAAACTCTTCTCTTAATATGAATCCTTATTGTATTTTTAGTTATAATTCAAATCTTTGTTAAGCTTAGAATTTAAGAGGCTAAAAACCAAACTTCTAGTTTTTTTAGTTTTGCTATAGGTTGTTTGTGTTCACTGGAAGTAGACAGAAAGCCCCCAACCCCCACCCTGCCCCATGGAGTATAGCCACACTGCAGTCCTTTCTCCTCCATTCTCCTGCTAGGATTCTGGGTATGAATGCACATGTACCTGGGTGATTTTCAAGTCACGAGTCAGAGACTCAAACCACATTGTTGACCATGTGGGATACACCTGCCTTCACCTCCATGCCAACTTCCAGCCCTCAAGCTTTGAGTTATTTAGTAAATATATTTATAATTTAATTAGAACTACATTCAGACTATTGAAAATTTTGAATAAAGAAAGCACAATAATCTAATGCTTCAAAATGGTTTTCCAAAAACAGGTTCAAAAGAACAATAACAGTTCGGCTAATATATTACCCGATACTTTACCCGACCTGCCAGTGTCTCTGGTTGTGACATCTTTGATCGTGGTTGACATTATTGAAAAACTAAGGATATATCCTCTCAGAGGGAGTCAAAAGAGTAAGTATTCTTTTAAGTATGAATATTTTTTAAAGTTTGATAACTTTTCAGCTTTCTGTTATTCTTTTTTTTTCTTTTTGACATGTTTAATAATACCTTTTCTTAGTGCCCACAGTACTGATAGATTTCAAATGAAGACACCAAAATTTAATTATTTAAAAATCTACTTTGATAGCTAGACAGTTATTCTTATCTTTTATTTGCATTTTTCTAGTACTAATAAATTAAGTTACCAAATATTGAATACCAAAGACTTTAATGTTGAGTCTAGCAAAAATATTATCTAAGTAAATTATTGTAAGTTTATATTTTTATTAGAACTCTTTTAAAACCATAGGTTTAGATGACTAAAGAGTTTAGTATGAATATTTTCATAGAAGAAATGAACATGACTACTGCAGTTGTGTTCTAAATTGTTATGTGTTTTTAATTGTGGATTATAAAAATGACAAAGATCACACTAATAAAACCAAGAAAAGCCATATTTCTCTAAAATGACCAGTTGAAATTAAATTTTAGTGGCCTTAAAAACAAGAATTTTGGGGGCTGACAGGTGGCATGGTGGCTAAGATGCTGGACTCCCACATGGCTGATTGCAGTTCAAATCCCAGACCTGGAAGTTTGCTCTCTTACTCTCTCTCTTTCTCTTTTTATCTCTGTGTCTCTCTCTGATCTAACTGAAGAACAATAATAAATAAAAATGAATAATTCTAAAAATATCCAAGTATTTTGTTAATAGAATATTTTGTTTGTTTCATCATAAATTCCTTCAAGTTTCATTTAATTTTGTGTGATAGTATCTATGCTTCATTTGTATTATCTGAATGTTACCATTATTGACTGGCTAAAATTTTGTCGTGTTGTGCATTCGAAATGGTTAGATTTCATAAGATTACTTCCTGACAGGTAATGGAGTAAATTGAATAAGTCATAGGAGAATACGTTGAAGTGACAGGGAGAACTACTAAAGCCAGTTAATTGTTTATGGGTCGTATACCACTGTTATGGTTTGAATGTGCCCCTCAAAGTTTACACATTGGAAATCTAATCCCCAAGGCAACAGTGTTGACAGGTGAGACTTATTTAAGAGATGATTCAGTCATTATACCCCGCTGTCATAAATGGTTAATGCTATGATCTTGGGGGTGAGTTTCTTATGACTGGAATGGGTTCTTGATAAATCAAGAGTCAGTTTACAGCCAGCCCCTTAGCCTAGTAGTTAAGGGAGCCAAATCTCACATGGCTGACCACAGTTTGAATCCTATCACCAATGACTTGAAAAACATCCTGGGTACCTGTGCATGCATGCCCCAAATCCCTATGGGATGGTGAAATGGTGTTGCGATAACCATCAAGAGATACTACCTACCTCTTTCTGTCTCTCTGACAAGTGGACATGCCCTCTGACAATTGAAAAAAAAAGATTTTTAGCCCCCTTTCATCTTTCTTTCTCATGAATTCTCTTTCTCTTCCAAGTCTCCTGTTAGGGACAGTCTGGCAAAAGGCCTTTACCAGATGTATTCTCTTAACATTGTACTTTCCAGTCTCTAGAACGGAAAGAAATAAACCTTTGTTCTTTACAAATTAGTCAGCCTGCAGTATTCTGCTATAGTGACACAAAAAGCATTCACAACCCTCCAGTTACCTTGACCCTTGAACTTAAATAAAACCTGGGTTGAAGGCCACCAGGAAATCGGAGACTCTCATCTTGCACTTTGTACCTGGGTGGGAGACAATGGGCTACTGTACTTAGCATTACACAGGTGACAAGTACACACGGTGGGGTGGCAGACAGGGGCCATCTGCTGAGGGAAAGGCATTCCCAAGGTACCTCTACCTGCCAGAGCCAAGTATGTTTATCTTAAACCAAAGCGATTTGGGAATCTCCAAACCCTGCTACATTTCTAAACTCTGTAAGGATGGAAATCTATTTTGAAATCAGACTGTTGTTGATGACTCTGTATTTTCCATGTTAATGTGAACTCTCTATCCAGGTTAAAAGTTCTCTTTTTTTTCCTTCTTCTTTTTAAATATTTATTTTTTTTTAGTTTTTTTTTTTTTTTTTTTGGCCATAGGGCATATGCATGCGTTCAGTACAGAGAGATAGAGAGAGGGAAAGTAAGAAATCACACCTGAGGGGGCGGGGTGGTCATGCTGCAATCCCTTCTCCTTTAGTCTCCTTATGGAATTTTAGACACACTTACACACGCCCGGCATGATTTTCAAGTCACCAAGTCAGGGACTGAAACTGCAGTCGGCATGTGAGAGTCCAGCACCTTATCCATCAGGCGACCTGCTGGCCCTTAAAGTTCTCTTTTTTTGATAAGAAATGCACATGTATATTGTGATAAATGAGTTTGTTAATATTTTACTTTCGTCAATGATGAGTTGGAAGTTTAAACAGGAACTTTTCCCGTGTCGAGAAGTGAAGATAGAGTTGAAGTAGAGTACCTCTCCATAGAAGTTAGCCTTGGAGAAAAGACTCTAGAAAATTTCGTACAACTGTTCTTTCTCATATGAAGGGTCTCCTTGAGCTGTTCTCAGCCCCAACTTAAGAGGATTAATATCTGGTTTCATAACTCTGCCATTTATTAAAATCACACTAAAAATCTAGCCTTCACTCAAAATAATTTTTATAAATGTTAACTATGCATTTAATTTGTATACGAACTTCAAATTCAAATAGTCTCTTACCCTCTTTTAACTTGTATACTAATAAAATAAATATGTGAATTTTGAATCCATGGGGTATTCTCTTTTTTTCCCTGGAACTTAAATGGATATGTGAATATATTAGCATCTAAAATCTTAATACATAAATCAGAATCTAAGCAGTTGTGCTATAAATATGGTAGCACACCTTGTGGTCCTTCAGAATCGAAGAAACTGAATAAGGGTAGATGACAAACAAGGTGTAGAATAATTTCACTGCCTTTGGAAAAGTGGGGAAGGGCCAGTGGGTGGTGTAGTGGTTAAGGCACTGGACTCCCATATGGTTGACCATGGTTCAAGTCCTGGACCCAGTGGCTTAAAATTCACACTAGGCAGGTGGTAGCACACCTTGTGGTCCTTCAGAATCGAAGAAACTGAATAAGGGTAGATGACAAACAAGGTGTAGAATAATTTCACTGCCTTTGGAAAAGTGGGGAAGGGCCAGTGGGTGGTGTAGTGGTTAAGGCACTGGACTCCCATATGGTTGACCATGGTTCAAGTCCTGGACCCAGTGGCTTGAAATTCACACTAGGCAGGTATGCATATGCGTGCCCAAGATCCTTAGAAGAGAGTGGGGGAGAAAGGATTATGGTGTAGCCATCTCCCCTGAGGAGTGATGTCTTACTTTCTCTATCTCTCTGTTTCTCTGGGGAGTACATGCACCCTATAGCAAAAATCTCTCTTAAAAAATAAAAAATAAAAGTGGGAAAAGTGAGTTTGTTCAGTGCTCTATCTAGATAGTTTGAAATGAATGCGTATCTGTTGGCTTGTAGCAGTTAGGTAGAAAATGGGCGTGTTTGGGAAGTAAAAATAAAGTTTGGTTGGATTTCCTACCTGAGTCAATAAATCTGTTGGTGGAATGAAAGTTTGCCTTCTTGGGACCAGCAGTTGGCATAATGGCTATGTTGCTGGACTCCATGTAGTTGACTGCAGTTCGAGTCCTGGACTCGGTAGCTTAAACTCATGCTAGGGGTGTGTTGTGAGAGTCACCCAATGTGCATGTTTTGCATGTTTTGTGTGTGCCCAAGCTCCTACAAGGAGAATGGAGGAGACGGTATTGTGGCATGGCTATTCCCCCTGGTGGGAGGCGATTTCTCATTTTCTGTCTCTCTGTCTCTCTCTTTTCCTGGCAACTTCTTGCGCCCTATGGCAAAAGCTTCTCAAAAAAAAAAAAAAAAAAAGAAAGAAAGAAAGAAAGTTTGCCTTCTTAAAACAATTGCTACTTGTTTCTCAAGTCATCATTTTGGAAACCTAAAGGCTGTTTTAAACACTACTTTGGAATTACAGGAGAAGGTGTTAGGAAGCTGAACTGAGGTCTTTGGATGTTTATTTGCTTAGTAGTTGATGTTTTATTTGGGGAAATAAAAAAAGGTTCCTTTCCTAAATGTTTAAAAACCATTAATAAGGACCAGCATGTGGTGTGGTTGTTAAGGTGCTGAACCCCCACATAGTGGACCATGTTTCAATTTCAGGACCTGGTGACTTAAAACTCTTGGTGGGTGCACATGCGTATGTACCCAAAATCCCAGGGGGAGAATGGAGGAGAAGGGATTGCAGCGTGGCCATCCCCTCCCTCCCAGGGCATGGTGTCTCACTTTCCCTCTCTCTCTATCTCTCTCTGGTGACCGCACACACCCTATGGAAAAAAAAAAGGATCTCACTGGGTACCAGCAGTTAGCATAATAGCTATGTTGCTGGACTCCCACGTAGTCAACCACAGTTCGCATCCTGGACCTGGTGGCTTAAAACTCACGCTGGGCGCGTGTGCGTGCGTGCCCAAGATCCCAAGAGGAGAATGGAGGAGAAGGGATTGCGGCGTGGCCATCCCCCCCTGGGGGGTGATTTCTCGATTTCTGTCTCTCTGTCTCTCTCTGTCTGGTGAGTACACGCGCCCTATAGCAAAAACCTCTCCAAAAAAAAAAAAAAGATCTCTCACTTAGAGCTGTAGGTCTTATCTCTTTCTAGGGCAGTACCATGACTGAGGAAGTCAATACTCAGTCTCCCTAGGCCCAGCTCCTTGGGAATTACAACTTTCTATCACCCAGAGGCAAAGTGAGCCCCCACCTAAGGATTTGTGGCTGCTGTTGCTCTAGGTAAACTCTGCTTTGCAGGTTGAACAGGCCCGTCCTGGTAGGGTACACTCACGTTTGAGATACAATACCTACAAAAACCAGATAACTTTTTTCGTTCAGAAAGATTTTTGCTATAGGGCATGTGCGCTCACTGAAGAGACAGAGAGAGAGAGTCAGAGAGACAGAAAGTGAGAAATCATCCCCCAGGGAAGATGG